AAATATATCAGGCAAAGGAATTATTTTCTAGTCTTGAAGTAAAGATCCATTGTTATTAACTTTATTTCGAGCAAAGTAAGATTCAAATCAGTTCTAAAGTTTATTGATCTTAGGGTATTTTGTCTTCTAGCTTCAACTTCCTAGAATAATAATTCAACATGATAAAACAATACTTAACTGTATCTTACAGCACCATTTTCTAGTCAGACAATATAGGATATCATGTATGACATACTCCATATGTAAAAAAGTATGAGATAAAAACAAATGAATGAAATCTTACTATAATAAATTTCAAATGTCCATGATTAAAATATATAATAATGACACAAACACTATAAATACAATATAAAACAAGAGTCATAGTGAATACAAAAATATATGCATAATTAAAATACATTCTGATACAAATATGCTGTAACCTTGAAAAGTATTGATCATACCTGTAATAATCTGTGGTTCTGCAGCTTGACACCTCACTGTAGCAACTGCATTTGTATGTCCAGATAATGTGTGTACACTGGCTTTAGTTCTCACATCCCAAATCTATAAAAACACAATAGACATACTGTCAGAAAGAACAGGTACTCATATCTCAGGCAGACAACTGGATTGATTCAAAGCTGGGAATTTACTAGACAACTGTGCCTGAATATAATGAAGAAAGTGCTTAAGTGAAGGATAATAATCCTAGAAGCTAGGAGAGGAATATATATAGAAGGCAGTTGCCAAGAAAAAAAAAAAGCTGAAAGATGAGGGTACTAGAAGTCTTAAGAATGGGTGTAATGGGAGTACTTTTGGGACTACTGAATGAAAGAGCTAATGGGCAATACTTGTGGTGATAGAATGGAAGGTGAGAGTGTCACATTTCAAGGACAGGACACTAATAACAATAAACATCATGAGGCCATAGAACTGAAGACTAAGGTGGAAAAAAAACCAAAAAACAAACAAACAAACAAAAAAAACCCAAAAAACCTGAGCCTGGGGTATTATTGAGTCAAGACAACTATCTTCAATTCTCTATCAAACAATAGAAGACTTCAAAACCAAATATGTATATTAAAAGATGCAATAAATATACAAACACACGGCTCTATCCCATTTACCCGAGCAGTTGAATCTCGACTACAAGTTACCAGCACATCGATTGTTGGGTGCAAATCCAAACCATACACTGCACTTAGATGTCCATGATAGTGCCTTATAACCTAAAGATCAAGCAGTAAAGTTAAAACTTCTAGAATTAGAAAGATAAACAGTGGCTCATAATGTTTTAAACCCTTAACTCCAAGCTCACCTTATTATATTCAAGATCCCAGCATTTTACTTGCTTGTCTTCTCCGCAAGAGAACAGGTAGGGGCTCCTTGTGCTCACTATCACGCCCCGCACTGTACTAATATGCCCAGTCAATGACAGTTTCAGTTTGCCACTAGCCAAGTCCCAGATCTGCAATCAAAGAATATTTATTTTTTCTTTTCATTGTTTCCAAAGCAAATTTTCAGAATCCTGATGTTAAAATTAAGACTTCAAAGAGAAAAAGAAAAAGATAGAAATATATACAAATTAAAAACTCTGCAAGATGATTCCCCTCCAAATAAAAGCAAGAAAAACAAAAAGAATAAAATGGCATGCTCAAACTAGGAAAATATTTGCAACAGATGACAAAAGGCTAATATTCTTAATATACGAAGATATCATTGATAATAGAAGTATGAATAGCATGACATTAAACTAGCCAAGGATGGTAACAACTTAAAGAAACCCTAAAAGCAGCAAATAAAGGTATGAAAAAGTCTGACTTCACTAGAAATTTTATATTAACAGTTAAAAAAAGATAAGATATTAACAGTTAAAAAAAGATTAGATTTTTGCTTATCA